TCCTTCTGAATCGCTAGCTCCAAATCATGGTAGTATAAGTTTAGTAGCCACGCCAACCATGTCGCTTGATGCTAGATCATAATGGTCTACTCCAAATGCATTTCTAGGTAAATGCACATTCACAGCTAGTAGCATTGAGTATTGTGTCATAGTCCTATATTGTTGCTTTGGTAGATTACCTACTCAATTTTCTTCTTGTAAAATATATCAAATTCCCTGTGCCATTTTTCTATCTGTGAATTGCGAACTATGGTTTGAATCAAATTAATCATTGCCAGAACTCCATTATCTTTTAGCAACATGTCAGTAGTATTTTACATGGAGTGCCCTCCGAGTCCATCAACTTTGTAATCAATCTCATTTTGGTTTCTTGACCTTGTAACTTACAAGAAATAAACACTAGTGTCTTTTGTTATGTGGAGGGTTTTGGTTTCTTTAGTCTAGTTGGTTTCCCGTTTACGAAAGTTGGAAGGCAAAAGGCGCGATAGTTTACTTTGTATTTTTTTGATAATTTTGCTAAAATTTTGATCTTTTTAAATTATTAATTTGTTATTGATTCTCATGTTTTAAATCAAAATTTAAAAATTTTGAGTTATAATATGACGTGAGAAATTAACTTGAATAATTGTTTAAAGAAAAATCAAGATTAAATCTAAATAACGTTGATTTGTACCAAATTAAGAAAATTTACGAACTTAAATAGCGGCTCTGTTTCGCTGGGACTTAAATCAACATGGACTAAATGTGAGGACTCATATGACATTTTTGAGAAACCTATGGACTGAAGTGAAAATCGATCCCAAAACGGCTGTCGAGCCCAAGGCTCCGTTCTCCGCGAAACCTTAACCACATCTGGTTTCCCCTTTTCCCTTTCCCGTTCGCTTGCCGACCAAACGGTCCCAGTTCTCGGACAGCCTCACATCAGACAAAGCGCAGCCCTCCCGCCCTTTGCTTTTGTTGAAGAGAGAGTAATGCTTGTCGATAGAGGAATGGGTCAACTTTGTGCGGTCCGATCAACGGTGAAGAAAACAAGGGAGCAATCAAAGGACTAAAAAGAGGAGAGAATAAGCAATCTGGGAAGTCTTAGGTTTTTTCAAAGTTTTTGTATAAATAGAGAGGGAGAATCGGAGAGAAGGGGACGGACGGAAAAAAAGAGGAGGAGATCCCAGAGCCTTGGGTGCTGGCGGAAGGAGGAATTTCTTGAGTGCCTTATTGCTTGTAATCTGATCTTTGAGGTACAATACTCGTCCCTTTCAATTTCATGTAATTTATTTACAACGAAATGAGAAATTGATTAAGTTTTTGCTCTACAATTATCTTCTGTTGATGTTGTGAATATCTGAATTAATCGAGTTTCTGGTACCGACCCAATATTGGGTCTCCCTAATTCGGAATTCTATACAGCTTATCTTTGTATGTGCGTCTCTTATTGTGGAGACTTCTGCTTTATGGATTAATTTTGATCCCCTGCGCTCCCCGATTATGTGTTTGTGTAAATTCCTCCTTACTTGTGAAGTCATGATTTTAGATTTTTGCATATGCCTGGTGTTGCTTTCCTTCTCTGGACATTTTGCCTTCTAATAGTTTTACAGTTTTCATATTTTTCTGATGCTTCCATTTCAGATTGTAGCCTTTCATTGAAACAAAGAGATTAATATCTTGTCCTTGCATTGTTAACTAAAATTGTTACTAGATTAAAATAAAAATCCAAACTCTCCTTCAACTAGGGGATTCATATGGTATAATTATTAAAAGTTTCATACTTTAGCACAATTACTATAAATTTCATTCTGTAGTACGATTATTTAGAAAACATTAAAAAAAAGGTGTAGAATAGAAAGAATTTCCATCATTCTAATTCAGAGATTACTGCTAATTCTCGGTTAATTGGTCTCCTAGGGATGTTGGCACTTGTCTGCGCTCCATCTACATGGCCAAAGGGATTTGGTGGCATTGTCAAACTGTCTGCTTCTCCTTCCAACATATGAACCACTGATTTCATTGATGGTCGGTCTGTTGGGTACCACTGGATGCACCAAAGTCCAACAATTGTAAGTTTTCTTGCTATCTTGGCATGGCCCTCATTTTCTATTCTAATCCCCAGCACTTCTCCTTTCTCCAAGCAATTATACACCCATTCTGGGAAATAAACTTGACTTGTACTCCCCACTGTGATGTCAATATTCTTCCTCCCTCCTACCATTTCCAACAATAGCATTCCAAAGCTATAAACATCTGATTTATATGACACTTTTCCAAAGTTCCTAGACAGTACCTCAGGCGCAATATATCCCATTGTTCCTCTGGCTGCTGTCATAGAAACAGCACTTTGTTCTTTGGAACACAGCTTTGCTAGACCAAAGTCGGAGATCTTCGGATTGAAGTTTTGGTCTAGCAAGATATTGTGAGGCTTGATGTCAAAATGAAGGATTTGTTTATCACAACCTTGGTGCAGGTACTCAATTCCTTTCGCTATTCCTATTGCAATATCTTGAAGATTCTCCCAACTGAGGGAACGACTTTGGT